CTTATACTAGGGTATATATAAATGGCTTTGTAAAAGAGGGCGTGGCACATCCCATAGGCGTGGAAGTTCTACCAGCTATAATAATATAAATTCAAAACCATAAGTCATATGAAATTGAAATTTGGTATGCAGACATATCTATGGTAGGTGCTTATAGTTAGGTATATATAAATGAGTTTGCAAATGGGGGCGTGGCTCATCCCATAGGCGTGGATATTTTTATCAGCTATAACTTCGGAGCCATAAGTCACATGAACTTGAAATTTGGTATGCAGGCATACTATGGTAGGTGCTTGTATACATATTTACATGAGTTTGTAAAAGGGGACATGGCTCATCCCATATTCGGAGAAATTTTATCAGCTATAACTTCAAAACCATTAGTCACGTGAACTTGAAATTCGGTATACAGACATATCTATGGTAGGTGCTTATAGTAAGGTATCCTTACTATCCTTACTAATATTACAAATCCGAAAGTGAGTTTGTTTATTTGTTACGTTTTCACGCTTTAACTACTCAACCGATTCCCATTAAATTTTGTACACTGGGGCCATTTAGCCCAACTTAAAATATAGGATAGATAAATTTTGTACACTGGGGCCATTTAGCCCAACTTAAAATATAGGATAGAATTAATCTCGATTATACGAGGGGGCGTGGCACCTCCCATAAAACGGGATTTTCATAGAGTACAGGGACTTGGTATAGATACATATACGTATATAAAAAAATTACATTTTCATCGAGGAGGCTGCCACTTTAAAAAAATTAAATTCGACTTGAATTAAGGGGATTATTTATTTGAAAATTATATTAAAGAATGGATGACAAGAGGCTTAAAAAAGTTGTAGTTTGAAAGGGTTTCCATCTGTTCGAAAAGCCAAATATAAATTAACTGATCACAAACTATCTAAAAAATTAATATATGGGTGTCAAATGAAAGATTGCTAAGAAACCTTCAGGTTGAACATTAAACATATTACTGAGGTGTTTTACAAGCGTTGCCACCCGTTTAAAAATTAAATTCATTTAATTTAAATGAATTACTATAATAAGGGTATCAATCAAAAGGTTTTTGATAAGGGTTTTAGTTCTAAACTACATGCAGGGGGTTGCCATCTGTTTGAAAAATCAAATTCTTCTTGAATTAAAGGAATTTGATAATTGGAATATGTATCACAATATGGATAGGGTTTTAGTAAAAAAAATAGTTCGAAAAGGGTTGCCACATGTTTTACAACTCGTGTTTATATTAGAAAGATTCAGCTTAAACATGTTGAGTTTTCCGAGGTCTTTAAAGAGGGTTGCCACCTGTTATAAACGTAAATTCAAATACAATTATATTATAAGTTTAATGAGTTTTTACAATCTATGTTTTAATCGGAAGGGTCTTGAAAAGGCTTTATTTCTAAGCAACATATGAATAGCAGGGACTCCACATGTTTGAAAATTAAAATTCAACTTGGATTATAGGAATTAACGGTATAAAAAAAAAGATTCAAAATTTTCAAACATTTCAATAAATTATTACAATATGAGTATCAATGATTTTGAAATGGCATCATTTCTTAACTACATGTACATAAGTATGAAAAAGTATCACAAGAGATAGGTTTAAGATAGTTTTAGTATGAAAATATTTCGAAGATATTAAAAATATTTAAATCGCCTGATTTTCGCATATTTTAAGTATGTTGTGTTTAATTAAAATAAATTACATCTAATGTAGCACGAAGAAATTTCATACACTCAGCGAAGCGGATGAGAGCGAGAGAACCGACTACAGGAACGCTTTCTGGTATACTCCTGTAAATTCTTGCAACTCTTGCGAGTTAGGGAACGCAACTATTAATGATGGAACAAGATTTGTAGTACAGAAAGTGATGATCAGCATATATTAGTTGAAGCACGATAAATCTTAAAGTATGGCTCATAAGGATGCCTTAATTTAAACAGAAAGAAACTGTATGCTGAATTACTGTTTACCCGAACGACGTCGTGTGCTCTGATAGTACATTATAAAAATACATCCACCTCCCAAATTTGATCCGGATATCTCGAAAATTGAGAGACTAGATTTCATACAAACAGACGGACAGACGGACATGGCTAAATCGACTCAGCTCGCCGTTCTGATCATTTAAGTATACATTTTAATGGGTCTATCTCTTCTTATGCTGGTACTTAAAAACATCGGACCAAAGTTATACATTTCATGCTCATGAAATGTATAAAAATAGTTGGGATCACTTTCTTTTTTAAACACCTAAGATATCACTGACCATTACGAAGGACCCTGAATGAAGGCAAAGCTCAAAGCTTTACAAATTTTTTAATTTGATTTTTGAAATGATCGATACAAAATCAGCCGGTATACACATTTTAAATTTTTTTAAATTAGTGGTTGAATTTTTGTTAAGAAAGATCTAGTTTAAAAGTGTAATACTAAAATTTTTGTTAGATTTGAATAAGATGTTGTAGATTTTCCAATTCTCAACTCAAATCAATCAGATCCGGAACTATAAGTGCTTGTGGATCGTACAGATTCAACGCAACTTGTGATACAAAAACAAGTTTTATAGCTAGAAAATATAATCATCAAGAAAAAAATGTTTTCATTAATTTGAGAAAATTTCTACGAATTGATTTATGCAAAAAAGAATCGACCAAATTTTTTTTTTGTGTTTTGCCTCTTTTGAAGACAGTGTGCGATATATATCTATTTCGTACTAAATATTTTTGGGTGTTTTACCAGACTTAAAAAGTATACAGTTCAAACCAGCAACTCATTTTGTTAAGTTGATAAAACATAGGACGTTTTAACAAACTTATATTATATTTATTGGATGGAACAAAGAACTCCTTTTCATTGCATAATATTTTAGCAAATATAAATATGCGGATATCTGAAATATTAAAAAGCTAAAGCACAGATAAATTTAAAGCCAAATGATGTCTTTTTTTTTATTTATTGATTAATTTTTTAATTTCTTATTAGAATTGAATTGAAATTTTAGAGTTATGTGAATATTGTAAACAAAAGTTCTGTCTAAAAATGATGTAGGTTTTAAATACAAAAATGTGTGGTAGATTTACCTTGGGCATATATTGTGAAAGGTTAGTCTATACCTTAGAGATGACGGTTTTCTCAGTGGTACGAAGCTTTGAGTAGAGTAAGGTCCTTTAAGAACTTAAAAATTATCCTGGGTTGTCAGGTCACTAGCAATATAAGATTAATTGTTGTCTTTCACGAAGTTCTTTAAATAAATCTTAAGCTAAATATTGAATTATATTCATGAATATCACGTTTTATTATATACTTAAATTTAAATTCCTAATATTAGTAAGTATTTCTTTACTGCATTCACCCGAATTTCGAGGGTTACTACTAGTTTTAATAAATTATCAGTTTAATTTCTCATAATTTACCTTTAGGTATATGTATCTTAAGCATGCATCGAAAATATGTTTTAGAGAATCAAAGTGAAGTAATTGCAGAAACGATTGACCGGTTTGTTAAGCGACCGATACGTCTGCTTTTAAATGAATTTTGTAAAACAAATCGGCAAGTACATATCGTCCCCCGCATGCCAGAAACATGAATGTGTAAAAATTAGAATTTTGGGAAATCAAGTTTGAAAGTCTTTCTACGAGACTTATAGTCCTAGAGGCGAGCGCCAAGGTATTGCAAGCATTTTATAAAAGCTGAATTTGTGGTGTAGAGAAATAGCCTGGTGTCAGTCAGTCTAAATCTTGCAACTACTTTACCAATTCTGAAAAATTAAGAAGATATTGATTAAAAAGTAGTATGACATTAGTCATTCACTAAAATCCTGCGCGTCAGTCACGTGTTGAAGTTGTACAAAATCTCTGCATCGTGAATGCATTTTATAAAATCTGAAATTCAGTTCATAGGTAATTACAATAATAATGGTCAGTCAGAATTTTCCTGTAACAGATAGATGGTAATGTTTTGCATTTATACATATGTATAACAATATTATAATTGTTTATGTTTTTGAGTACATATATAATAATTAAACAAGAACGCCCTACTTCAGAATTGGGTTGAAGAATGGCCTATTTCCGAATTTTATCGGAAAACACCCTATCTCAGAATTCTATTAAAAAACACCCTATCTCAGAATTTGGTTCAAGAACAATTTCAGAAATCGGTTCAAAAACGCCCTATCTCAAATGAAAATTTGTTGAAAATATGCTGAGAATCGGCATCTGAGTTAGGGCGATTTTAAACCGAATTCAATAAAATTCTGAGTTAGGGGGGCGTTCTTTAACCTAATTATGAAATAGGGCGATCTTTAAAAGTTTTCTGAAATAGTGCGTTTTTGAACTGGCTGCCAAGATAGGTCGATCTTCCACTAAAGTGTCGATTTATAATATTCTTATATTTGTATGAAAACAAGTCAAATAATGTAAGTTTAGTACTCCACTCTGCTTTCTAAACTAAATTTATATTTGGCTATTAGTTAAGATTGTCTTTTCAAATGGAACCATTTATTTTACACATATGTATTAATAAGGATTAATCAATCAACTACATTAAAATTTTGAAATAAAATTTTCGAGGGATTTTTTATATGTCAGTCCCGGCCTCCCCTGAATTCGATCCTGGCGACGCCCATGTGTGACGAGAATGCTGTGCCTTAGTGGTTTCAACTGAAGCTAAAAATTTTGACTTTACAGACTGTTTTTCCTTTTAAACGCTCTTTTTAATTGGCCAACGAAAAAGTTCTTATTAGTCGCCGCGAAGTAAGCAGGCATTGGCTAGTTAATAATAAAAACAAAAAATTTTTAATTGGTATACTGTTGAAGAGATATTGTCGCACACTGTGCGATATAATTATCGGCAATATCTCTTTGCGCAAATAGAATTGGCATAGAGTGTAGTATCCTTCAATTATTAGAGCAGTCCCACTATATATAGCAATTGAAGAAAGTTCTAAAATTTTTATTTCAATTCAAAATTAAGTAGTTACCTGCAGTTTTTGATATCTAATCGGTATGAATTCATTGCCGCCTCAGTTTGGATTACACGGTCTGCAAGCTTATCCACCAACGGTTTATTATCTTTTAGCCAAACCACCAACCCTGGCTTTTCCGCAAATTGTACTTCGAAATGTGCACTTTCCCCAGCTGTAATAAGAATGAAGGGAATTATGTTTAGTGTTTAGTTATAAAGAAGTTTCAGATTTCCAGAACTATTACAAAATTATGGAATTGTTTTACTTCTAATTGGTTTGCAACCACTAGGTTGACGGTCAGTATGAGAAAGTTAAGTTGCGCCTTCAGCTACTAAAATTTAAAATTTGTTTATGTATATAACTAACTAAATTTAGGAAAAGTTGTCTGTTATGAGTTGGTATTGTTTGACCATCGATATTTTTAATCTATATACTGACATATATCGATCCTTTTAAACTTTTTTTTTATTTTTTCACTACTTACAAAATACTTTCGTATGGCATATACGATCATTTCGCCACAAAAACCTGCATTGTAAGATACTACAAAACATACCGTAAATGTTTGGTGTTAGTCTGTTTGTGTGTTTCAGGTACAATATTTTACCAGGTGATGCGTTGTGTGGTGTAGAACAAATTTGCAGCAAAAAGTCCATTTCAAAAAAATTGCACGCACGATAGTTTCGCCCAAAGGGGTCGATATTATTATTTTGAAAATATTATTAAGTAGTCCAAAAAGCTGGCCAATAATATTTTGTGGGCGTAGAAGTCAGAGATATTTGTTTCATTGGAATTTTAGACTAAAAATGGAAAAAAAAGACTTATTTAAGTGGTATCAGTGCATTTATTCATCACTGCCATTATCTTCTATAAATATAACAAAATTGCAACAGGCTGATGTCTGTACATTAGAGATATTAAAGAAAAATTAATGTGGGGGTCTTTATTAGCGCCACAGAAACCAAATCAACCATTTTTCGAATTTTTATCTGCCTGTCTGTATTTTTGCACGCGCATCACTCGAAAACTAATGCATGGAATTGAATGCAGTTTTCACCGGTGTATTGCTAGTGGTCTAACTTAAAATAAAAAAATAAAAAAAATTAGAGAATTACCACCTTGAAAATTTTAGATTAAGTAAATTGCAATGGGGTATAGTCATTGCGCTGGGTATGCAGTTACAGTTGCATGGCTATACTCAATCCCGACTCTTGCGTCCTCGTTCGCGCACTCTGGGCAACGTGAGCAACCTATGTGCGAGATGCGGTAACCAATCCGAGTGGAGCCTTGCGTCACGGCAGAAAGAGAGGGAGCTTCGGTGGGGCCACTTTGACTTATTCGGTTTAAGGGCTCACTGAAGTCTGCAGCGTCTGTTCACCAGTAGGTGCGGCTGCAAGCGGGTATCTGCTTGGAGCAAGCGGCTCGCTATATAAACAAGTATTTGGTTGCGAAACCACCCCCGTCCCAGCAATGGGTTGTGCACTGGGCTTGGGACCCGCCACGTAAAAACCACTTCCAGTGAAGAAGCAAGGCAAAGCCTCGGATGAGACCCCCCCTTATGATGACGACCACGGCAAACGTTTAAAGGACTACGATTTGAGGGCATGCACCTGGAATGTCCGGACCCTTAATGGGGAAGGTGCCTCTGCCCGGCTGGTTGATGTCCTCGTAAGGACAAAAGCTGACATCACCACCATCCAAGAAATGCGTTGGACGGGGCAAGGAAAACAATGTATAGGGCCTTGCGACGTCTACTACAGCTGTCATGTAAAGGAGCGCAGATTCGGAGTTGGATTTGTGGTGGGAGAGAGACTCCATCGCCGAGTACTGTCGTTCACCCCGGTGGACGAGCGTCTAGCCACAATCCGCATCAACGCGAGATTCTTCAACATCTCGCTCATCTGCGCCAATGCCCCGACGGAAGAGAAGGATGAGACATCCAAGGATCTCTTCTATGAGCGCTTGGAGCGCACGTACGAGCGCTGCCCTCGTCATGATATCAAAATCGTGCTTGCCGACTTCAATGCTAGGGTGGGCAAAGAAGGGATCTTTGGAACCACCGTCGGAAAATTCAGCCTCCACGACGAAACGTCCGACAACGGATTGAGGCTGATCGACTTCGCCGGGGCCCGAAACATGGTAGTATGCAGTACTAGGTTCAAGCATAAAAAGATCCATCAAGCTACCTGGCTGTCTCCGGATCAAAAAACGAGAAACCAAATCGATCATGTTGTGATAGACGGAAGGCACGCTTCCAGTGTTTTAGACGTACGCACACTCCGAGGCCCAAACATCGACTCGGACCACTATCTTGTTGCAGCCAAGATACGCACCCGCCTCTGTGCAGCAAAAAATGTGCGCCCAAATATGCAAGGAAAGCTTAACGTTGAAAAGCTGCAATCACAACAGACAGCCAGCGCTTTCGCTACTCGACTCTCACACCTGCTCTCAGGAAGCTGCAGAGAAAAAAGATGCCGCCTACAGGGCCACGCTGCGATCGGGCGCAACGCGCGCTATGTGGGACCGCTATAGGGGTCTGAAGGGGGAAGTGAGACATATTTGCCGCAACAGGAGGAGAGAGGCCGAAATACGTGAGTGCGAAGAGCTTGAAATGCTGGCCGACAGGAGGAATGCCCGAAAATTTTACCAGAGAGTTAGGCGACTTACGGAAGGTTTAAAGACCGGGGCGCACTCCTGTAAGAACAATAATGGCGACCCAGTAACTGATGTCCAGAGCGTACTTAAATTATGGAGGGAACACTTTTCCGCCCTACTAAATGGTAGCAGCACGGAAAGTTGTGGAGAAGAAGAACCCGAGCCCGCAGTCGATGATGACGGAGTCGACATTCCACCGCCTGACTATGACGAGGTACGTATAGTAATAACGCGGCTGAAAAACAACAAAGCCGCTGGAGCTGAAAGCCTGCCAATTGAGCTATTCAAGTACGGCGGCGAGGAGTTGATAAGGTGCATGCATCAACTCTTGTGCAGAATATGGTCAGATGAACGCATGCCCGACGACTGGAATTTAAGTGTGCTCTGCCCAATCCACCAGAAAGGTGACCCCGCCATTCGCGCCAACTACCGCGGGATCAGCCTTCTAAGCATAGGTTACAAGGTCTTATCGAGCGTATTGTGTGAAAGACTGAAGCCCACCGTCAATGAACTGATTGGGCCTTATCAGTGTGGCTTTAGACCTGGCAAATCCACCATAGACCAGGTATTCACAATACGCCAAATCTTGGAAAAGTCCCGCGAGAAAAGGATCGACACTCACCACCTATTTGTCGACTTTAAAGCCGCTTTTGACAGCACTAAAAGGTGTTGCCTATACGCCGCTATGTCTGAATTTGGCATCCCCTCAAAACTCATACGGCTGTGTAAAATGACGTTGAGCAATACCACCAGCTCCGTCAGAATTGGAAAAGACCTCTCCGAGCCGTTCGCCACAAAACGGGGTTTCAGACAGGGCGACTCCCTGTCATGTGACTTCTTTAATCTGATGTTGGAGAAGATAATAAGAGCTGCAGAACTGAACCGCTCAGGAACAATTTACTACAAGAGCTTGCAATTTCTGGCTTATGCCGATGACATCGACATCATCGGTAACAAAAACCGCGAAGTCTGTTCTGCCTTTTCCAAGTTGGATAGGGAAGCAAAGCGCATGGGTCTGGTGGTAAACGAGGACAAGACGAAGTATCTCCTGTCATCAAACAAACAGTCAGCGCATTCGCGCCTTGGCACCCACGTGACTGTTGACAGTTACAATTTCGAGAAAGTAGAGAATTTCGTTTACTTGGGAACCAGCATTAACACCGATAATAATGTCAGCATTGAAATCCAACGTAGAATCACTCTTGCCAACAAGTGCTACTTTGGACTGAGTAGGCAATTCAGGAGTAAAGTCCTCTCTCGACGTACGAAAACCGCGCTCTATAAGTCACTCATCATGCCCGTGCTGGTATATGGCGCAGAAGCATGGACAATGACAACATCCGATGAGGCGGCTCTTGGAGTGTTTGAGAGAAAGATTTTGCGGAAGATTTACGGGCCTTTACGCGTTGGCGACGGCGAGTACCGCAGACGATGGAACGATGAGCTGTATGAGCTTTACAACGATATGGACATAGTGCAGCGAATTAAAATACAGCGGCTCCGCTGGCTTCGTCATGTCGTTCGAATGGACACCGACGCTCCAGCTCTGAAAGTATTCAAGTCGGAACCCGCTGGTGGTAGCAGAGGAAGAGGGAGGCCCCCGCTGCGATGGAAAGATCAGGTGGAGAAGGACTTGGCTTCACTTGGCGTTTCCAATTGGCGTCAGTTGGCACAGAGGAGAAACGACTG